GCCCTTTGTTGGCTGCTTTGTGCAAACGCCATCACGGAGGCAAAGTCAGCCTCATAAAAAGAGTTCATTTTGGATTCACTGGCCTCCGATGAACACTGGGAACTTTCCTTTTTGTGCCCCCTTCCATAAATTGCCACTCACTCACCGGGCCCTGTCAGTCTGTCTGAAAAGATTCTTTATGAAGCATTTCCTACTTCTTCCCTCCGACACGTTTTGTCAATTCACCCATGTAGGTAATCAGTCTAATCGCACTCGGCTCATTTTCAGGCTGCCAGGATACTCAGCCACAATGCATCATGGGCGCTCCACTCATTTAATTTATGCGAATAAAGGCCGGGGCAGAATTTAAAAAAGCGATAGATTTCGATGAATCAACTTCAATCTCATCTTGTTGTCAGATGATCTTGTGAGTCCATGACAGTGTTTTTATTCCGCTGTCAGTTATGACACATTCAAGCTTTCATTGGCTTTAGGATGAGTCCGCTGAGTCTACAGGTAAAAGTAAACACGCAGGATCCCACCCATGGAGCAGCTGTCAGGGCCTTCAATGAATCAGCCTCTACCTGGGCAAGCAGGCGCTCCAGGGGTTAATGGAAGAGGAGGAGGAAGGTCTCGTCTGCACGGCACATCCTCCTCTGTCAGATGTGGTGCTTTCAGGAAGCCCTCCTTTACCAGGCTTGTCATTTCCCAACCACCCCTTATTGTTCCACCGCCTCTCTCCCTCTCCCTCTTTCTCTCCCCTGGGCCTTCTCTTCACTCTGTCCAAGACCTTTTCTGATGCCAAGAGAACACACACAAGCAAGCAGCAACATGCACCCTCACACCGACACACGCTCATAGAGGCAGACACACAGGAGCAGGACAAGACTGAAAAGGAGACACACACACACACAATCAGAAAGCCTCTAAAGAGGCTTTCTTATCTTATCAGTATTGTCATCGCTCTATCAACCACAGCCAATCCTCTTGTCTGATTGCCCAGTGACTCCCCCTAAAGAAGGTAGATTTTATACTAACAAGCGCAATTTAGAGGAGATTTGGAATAAAACAAAACTTAAAAATGACATTCAAATCAAAGCGTATACTATACAGATGCATACTTAACATTTAATGAAAAGATAAGTGTCTTGTGGGCCCATTTGGGGACAGGTACATGGTGGGTGGGTGTTTTTTTGTGTTGAAGATGAGTTTCATTTAGTGTTTAGGATTTATTTGTTAAAGAATCCTTTTCTTTTTTTTTCTTTTTTTTTACAGTTTGCACCAGAAATGTCGATAAAACCTTGTGTTTTCATTTAAAGAGATTCATATTATGATTTACATCTTAGTTGTTGCTGCCTTATGTCTTATAAGCCTATACCAGCTGTCTACCACATTTAAATAGTAATACACTAATCAATAAATCAATCAATATACTTATTTTAATTTATTTTAATATGATAAACAAATACTCTCCATGAAGCCCATACTTATACTTTGTATATGCATATATATACTCACATAATAAACCTGTTGCATTGAAAAAGTTGCCACATTTTCACTTTCCAATATCGTGTCCAGAACAATCACTGATTGGGATATTATTGCGATAAATGGACAGAGTATTTTTTAAAATCATAACTATAACACGCTTTTTCACTTAAAATATCATTTTAATGAAATACATTTATTTCTTATTTTGCAGTTCATCAATTTATTATTTAATTGTTTTAATGGAGGTGCTAGATTATCAACATGTGTGTATTACTAACTGGAAATCCAAATTAAATGTTTAAATATCATGGTTATCTATGGTACTTAGTGACACAGTCCAAATAAATTGTATTTAAATCCATCACATTCATTATTCATGAAAGTGCATATCAACATTCCTCATCATTTGAACCATTGCAGATGAATCACTTGTGTTATAACATCCTAGTACTTTTCTTCATCCTGATGAAAGGAGAGTGTGGTATGATGACTTCACAAACATACAGGATACAACCATCAATATGTGTGCCATTGATATTAAGCATGATAACGCTTTATAAGGGGTTGAAGCCAGTATAAAAGGTGGTATCTGTAATATTCCGAGGATATGTGTTTTACAGAAAGTGTTACAAACTCCTCCTCTCATCCTGCTAATTTTCTCCCTCGCGTTGCGCTCTTTTGTTCGTCTCTGTCTGCTTTAGCCTCTGCTGCTGCTGTGGTGCTGCTGATGGAAGGGATTGTCTGGTTTTATTAATATGACAGGTGAGCCTGCCCAGCTGCTACCTATGTGTGTGTGTGTGTGTGTGTGTTCGATGTGCATGTGTGCCAAAAAGCAGCAGCTGTCTCATACACGCAAAGCACACATGGTCTCATATGAACCCGTTCACACAGGCATTATTGTGGCATATAGACTTTTTATTTTATCGCATGATTTAAATCCGTTTACAAGATGCTCCGATCTGAAGTACATCTTCCTGTGAAACTGGGGACAACACTGCACAGATGCTCGCCACACTGGAACCATATTTGTGTGTTATTACCCTCATATATTACCACTTTGTTTACTTCCTGGGTAATTTTCCCTGCCCCTTCGAGATGGCCGTAATATCCCTGTTCTTGTATATACACTTTATGATTTGACTCATATGTTGGGGTTCAATACATCCATATTGACTCAGGTAATTGAACACGAGGGAAACAGGCTGTATTCATAAAAGAGGCAGTGAGACCATTCGCTGAATAGAGGGTTATTGCAACCGCGGCGAGGAGCTTTAGCAGTTGGAGGCGTCAGGCTGTATGTCTGTCATTGACTGCAGTTCAGGCGTGAAGATGGCAGCACAGAGGTCTTCCACCTGAGCAGATTGTGTTCCAAGTCGCTCCATTACCTGAGTGGACCACCTTTGTCTTATAGCTCCAAGTGGAAAATGAATACACACTAGGCGTCACAGGGAGTGTGTGTTTGTGGGTCGGTTGTTTTCGTTTTTTTTGGAAGGGTGAAGGTCGAGAACATTGTTGAAGTTCTCTGGTTATGCGCCTTTTTTTATGGGAAAGCAACATCTGCTCTTTGGTTACCTTCAACTGATCGTATCATAATAAGATGATGAGGCTAGGAGATATGAGGAAATTATACCAAGGGTTTTTATAGAAAAATATAGTATGAGGGCAATACTGTGCCTCTGATCTTGTATAAGATATATTAATTCTGGCGAGAACATGCCACCCGTTTACAAGATGGCGCCGCAGACGTAAACAACAACGCGACATCTGAGCTCCGTTAAAAACAAAGCTGTCTATGCCGTCTGACGGTCTATTTGACACGATTTTCATATTTTTTGACCAATTATACCAGAAATATTGTGTTCTGGCATAACTTTAAAATGTTATGGGGAAATCGCCATTTTGGTATGACGCTGAAAGTAAGACGGCGCATAGCTCCTGTTACCCGGTTTATAACAATACTGCGATAATAATTATACGGTACTTGCATTAAATCACAATTATTGAAGTTCTGCTTTTATGCTATTCAGTATACTGCGTAATTAGAGTTTAGGTAGGTCATGCTTGCTGAATAAATAAAAAAAGACTTGGGGGAAGTTTATTAGAAATTGAAATGTTGAACTGCCAATTAAAATAAATATATTAAAAACATTACAGTTTTCTTCTGATCCTCTTTTTTGATAACAAATAAATAATCTTTGAGTACAATAACCAAACTTATGCAATGTTTATCATGCAAGTTGACATCACAATAACGTTATATTTTAAACAATATATTTAGCAGCACAAAAAATACTGTAGATGTAACTGCTGCCTGTCACATGGCTTACAAATCAATACCTTCAGAGCTTTCAAATCCTCTAAACGTAGACAATTTTTAAAAGTCTTTAGCATATCATTACAATTAAACTACAGAGGTTACTAGATGCCCGCTCTCCACAATAAACCAGCATCTCCAAACGGGAGGCAGGTATATTTTATTATCGTTCTGGGGAGTGGACAGGCTGGCTGATGGGACAGAGATAGTGCTGGCCCACTTACGTAGTTAACAGAGTCTGGGGACAGAGCCGTCCCTGCACTGACCCGTGACCGCCAGCACTGGCTGCTGGGTAATCTGTCAGCCCTAGCACACTGTCATTACGTTTTTATCACTCTTCATAAAGAAGAAGGTTAACTTTGAAGGACCTTTCTCTCAAATCTGAGATCTTAAATCACTTGATGGAACTTTTTGTAGACTACCATGTCAATCAAATCACTACTAATCCTTGTAGAAATACCTTGAGAAATAAGAGAAAAATATAATACTTGAGAAAACAAATTCAAAGAAAAGTTTGGATACAGGCCAGCTCGATCTTTTTCTTGATCGGCCAATTTCTAAAAGAAGCAGGTAGCACAAAGGTCCCTCCACTCGAGGAGGCCATTACTCATGAGCTACGCTTTCCATCGAAGTTGAATATTACTTTTTTTCTAGGTGTGGGCCTGTCAAAAGACAAGGTTAATGCAGTGCATTGCTGCTTAAAGCACACTTTGCTCTTTTCAAAATGTTACCATTGTGCCTGGCCAGATCAAAAGGGCCTTTGAACATGTCGCTGTGTTCAATGAGCTTTCATGTCTTACCTCATTACTGGAAAAACTTTTCTTTGGTTGAGCCGAGGTCTGAGCGGAGTTTGGTCAGACAATGGGGCTGGACGACTTTCGGCGTCACACAATGAGGAGGCAACAAAGATGTTGTCTCAAATCCCTCTCGAGATGTTTGGGCCCCCACACTTTACTGTGGCCAACAGGCCTGTGCATTACAGTAAGACCCCTAAAAAGTGAGGATTTGTAACTCCTCTGATCAGACTCGGCTCACGTCCAGCAGAGGCTAAATCCCAGAACAGGGGGTGGGATGAGCTGCCCATTTAAACTCTCTCTGTTAGTCCCTGAAAGAATGCTAAAGTTAATTAAACGTAAGAAAATGTCCATTTGAACTAACTAAAGGACTGCACATTTAAAGTTCTTTAAAGACAACATTTCAAATAAAACACGACACCTTTGGTTTGAAAATAAATATTTTATTCATGCCATTTATACAGAGTTTTTATATTTCTAAGAAAGTTCTAACATTTCGTGCCAGGGCACCAATATTCTTTCCAATCATTTTTTGGCAATAGAGCAAACAGAGCCCTGAGTGAGTCCTTGAGTATACACACCCCTCCCTGGCTCCAAAAGTCAGAAAACCCAGACAGAAGTGACGTTTTTACCCATCAGTAGCGGGGCTCTGAAGAAACCACTTCTGACCGTCTTCTTTCTCCATCTTTCCATCACTTCTTCTCTCACACACCTTTTCCTCTTCTTTCATTTCTCTCTGTTTATGCCTGTATTTATTTTCCAGTCACTCTTTAGCAGTCTCCATTTTTCTGCATCTATCGCTCTCCCTTTTACAACTTCATTTCCTCTCCTGTTGATGTTTGTTTTAAAACGTTTTTTATCATCTTCCAGCGATAATCCCGGCTTTATAGGCACAGGTAATTGCAGAGTGTGAAACCAACAGGAGACAATATAAATATTTGAGTGATTTAGGGGGAGAAAAAAACTGTTCCTGTGACCTGGGTTGAGTAGAAAATTGAAAATGAAATAAACTGCTCCGATTGTGAATTTTCCATCCTGATAATTTGTTTTCCTTTCTTTGGAGAAGTCAGCCAATAAGAGCCAAGCTTTTGTTCCTGTTATCACACACTGTTCATTTGTCCCCCAGCCGGAAAGCCATGTTAAGATAACGACATCCTATCATCTGATTGTCTTATCAAAGTTGAGCTACACAGCCCCCCCTCCAGCCACTGTGAACAATCAGTCAGCCTGATGAAAAGGTTAAGTGCTCCAAACACCTCCTTTTGACTTTGTTGTCAACATTTAGAAAGCAAAAATAAAGTGTTTATTACCCATATTTAAGTTGTATTTGTCACTTTGAGGTGTTTCAACTCACCATGGCTCATGTGTACCAATACTCAAGCCCTGTTTAATGTTCTTACGGCCTCCTCTCTGCATTTCAAGTGCAAGAGTGTGCAACCCTTAAACAGCGTCTGACACCAGGGTCAGTGGAATTGCCCCACTTGAACTAAAAGACATTTAGTTTGGTTTGGAAAGTGAAAACCTCCAACACCATTCATTTGTTTGCTCTCCCACTAGTCGTGACCACAGCAAATGCCATCACCTCAAAGAAGTGGTCGCCCGTCCTCACTTTTATTTGTTTGTTTCTGTGGAGGGTGTGAGAAGTTGTGCTGTGGTGGACGTTGGACTTGTATTGGCAGGGGGGGGGGGGCTCTCTGGAAGTAAAGCTTTGCAAGGAGAAAGCTATAGGGTGCTATCAAACAAGTTAGCTAGCGACAGAGAGCGGGCAGTGGGGGGTGGAGGTGGTGATAGTGTTGGGAGGGGTGGGGATTCATTTAGCCAGGCATAGCTGCTCTTGTTTGTGGTTGTCCCTGACAGCGTCGGCAACGCTGCTCCAAAGCACCTGTGTTTGCTCACTAGCTTTCCCCCAATCTGCTCGAAAAATGCTGTGAGCATGTCACATGGTGGCCAGATAGCCTGGGCACCATGGGAATACAAAAGCCGGGGCTTTTAGAACAGTTAATCATTAATGGAGGCCTCTCTTTTGTTCCCATTCAGCTCCACGCTGACAGAGGCTTTGATATTACATATGGCAGACAGGTCAGACGTAGATATAGCCAAGTACATCGACGGGGAAGTGCTTTCAGGTCGTTCGATGCAGGGTGATGAAAGTAGACGGAAATCAGCATAGGAAAAGTGTCCTTCAGCGTTGGCCATGTCCATCTGTAAAGAGAGGGCAATATTACATAACATTGTATTTGATTGTATGTTGTTTCAGAATATAATAAGCTTTTAACTGGTCGAGGTTAGTTGCTACGTAACATTAATATCTCAACAAGTTTGCTTGATAACACTGGAAGTCAGAAGTTCCAAACAAAGTTGGAATAATTACGACTATATGTCGATTAAAAACATCACTATAGTCACTGATTGGCAGGATGGCAATAAGTATTCCCCAGTATGGGAGGCCACTTTACCGACCCCACAATTAATTAACATGCCCTAATCTCAGTTTGCTCTCCATCTTGAACTGTCAATGAAAAGTCCAGGACTCATTTCACGCCTGTCAAAGTCGGCTATAGAACAGGAGGAAGAAAAAAAGATTGCATGAACTTGCTTTCACAAAGCAGGGTCGAATTTATCTAGAGGGGAGATTAAGTTTACACAGCCACATTCTTATAAAGCACTAAAAGGCTAGGAGACAAACTCTTATCTGCCGTTTATCTCAGCATGCCAATGGTTCTTTATTGAAAGTTAGTCATGACCCCGCACTAACCCCCCCCCCAGGCCAAATAATACTGTATGGGAGTTGGAGAGGAGGTGAGATCACAAACATTTACGGCTGAAAATGAAGCACAAGAGGAGGCAAAGTGGCCACTCAACGCAGGATGCTTGGTGCGCCGGGAGTCAATCATTAACGTAGCACTTTTAGATAGAGTACGAGTCAAAAGATAAATGAAGGTTGTGTTTCAGGGAACGAAGTAAGGCTCCGACTTAGGTGCTTTAGCAAACATACCAGCCCACACATAAGTTTCTTTGAGACGTTTTAGTGGTCCTGTTCTCATGTCAGAGTCTCACTTAGACAATATGTTCTCAAGCTGGCCAACAATAGCCAAATGACTCAGGTATGTGTTTGTGTTAGCGTCAATAAAGCACTTCCTGAAAACTATGGAAACCTCTCTGCCTCTTAACGTGCCAATGTCAAATAAAACTCACAATCTTTTTATACTTCCTTGTTCTTTTATTTAATAACCCATTTCTTTAAAGTATTATCTATATAAGATAACATGCCCACAGACTAAAACAAACTCCCTAAATTGATTAGCATTTCCTCATATTGAAATCAATTTTTCAGATTTGACCAGAAAATAAAAACATGTTATGCCCTCTTCGTCATATGTGAGCGTCACACAGCCATAAATCTTTTCCCCCCTTACATTCAGCTTGACTTCACTGCAGTGTGTTTATTTGCTAACCCTGGTCACCGACGATAAGGGCCATTGGCGTCCCCAAACCGTAGCTTGCAATCTCTCTTCGTGACAACAACGCCCATGCTTCAACCAACACGTTTGCACTGTGCAGCCCACAATAAGGGGAAAATAAAGAACAAAACATAGGTGCTAATAAATCCTCTTTCTCTGCTAGGAAATAAATTAGGTTGAACGCAGTCAAAGGATGGGCTTAACAAGTGCATGCTTCAAACAAAAGTTCCTGTTTCAGGAGGGAAGGTGCATGGGTGATGGATGGCTTGGCAAACATAGTTGACATACCTGGCCAATGCCATGGGCCGGTCACAACCCAGGACTGAGAGGGACATTGTGTGAGTGTTTGAGTGAGTGTGTGTGTGCTCTTCAGCAGCTATCCCTCTTCCCTCTGAGGCTTCCTCTCCCTCCTTTCTTCCACTCAGGCCGTGGGGATCACTTCAGTCAGCAGAGCCCTGTTTGACATAGACACAGCCTCCATATAAATCCCATCCTTCTATTTATTTGATGTGCAGTTCTACTAGGACGCCTTCGATCCGTCCTCAGGGAGCCCGCATCTCAAAACACTCAAATAGTCTGGGTGTGGCGATAAGCACGGGGCTGGAATTATACTCCCAAATTCCCAAATCCTTGTAGAGCATTGTTCCGTAGCGTTTAAGACACACACACGGGAAGACAACTGCCTTATATGGACTGGGCAATTATTGTAAATTCTATTTTATATCCTTTAATGTTTTTAATTCAATTTAGATTTTTTATATGTGGATATATAGAGGGGAAACATGTGTGGATGAGTGCAGTTTGGAGCGTGGGAGATGGGTCAGTGCAGTCTGGTGGATGAGTGGTAGACCTTTATGGGGAACACCCAGGAATGTTTAGTTAACTCGTCCGTCGCTTTCAAGCATGTGTGTCAAAGGTGTTTACAGGGTGTTGACATTCACACATTGGCAGAGAGGTAAAGTGAATGGTGCAGCCATGTCTGGCTGAGCTGGGCCCTGAAAGCGTTCAAAAAAACCAATATGGAACATGGACTTGTAGTCAAAAAAGCAGGAACCGTGGCATTTAAATAAATAGGCTGAAAACACTGCTGCAATTTACTTCTCCAATTCATTTTTATTTGATTTATGCAAGAAAATGCACTTTGTTTTTGCAGCAGCATTTTCAGCTCAACGGCACTAAAATAAAAATATCTTTCACACTGCCATACAAATTATTTTTATTTTAAATCATGAAATATGCATTTTAAAGAGCACATTTGAATGTTTTTAAAAAAAATTATATAATAGCTTGTTGCTTTTATTTTTCAGATTAATGGTTTGTCAAATAGTTATTAAAACATTCATTCAAATATATAATGATAATACAATGTTTGGATCTACATATTTAGCTTCATTTATATTTTCTATTATAAATTCATTTGAAAATTAATTATTCGTTTGTATCTTTGTTTTGTATATTATAAAACCAGTCGTGTTTTTCTTTCACTTTAATGCAGCTTACGAGGTTTGTATTGCTCTTACTTTAAATTGACAGAATTGCATGACAATTCATAATTAGTTGGTTCATTAATATGAACCAAGCAAAATGCTTCTTTTTTTTTACGGCAACATATTGTAGTTAGTGTATAATTACTTAGACAATTAAATATCATTTTTTAAGTTATGGACAAATTAAATCAATCAAATAAGACACTAATTTAAAAATGCAATAAAATATGTCAGTCTCAAGTCTTTCTTAATTATTTTCCTTTTAATAACCATCTACCCTTTTTGTAATTCAGATATTTTAGTTTTTGTGGTTAAAATGCAAACATAGTATAATTACTCTGGTTGTAAATGTCATGATGTGGAACAACATGTGGAACCACTAGTAAAACGAGCCTGATAATGTGTGGTTTAATTTCCATTTTATGTGATGGCTTAGCAATAAAACACAATTATCAAGTCATATATCCACTCGTCGTAAAAAGGGCAAACACCAGATATGTAAAACTGTGCAACTATAAATCACATTTCTAAATTGATGTTAAACACAGTTTGCACTCTGTAAATAGAATTTCCCATATTTAATACTCATTTATTATTTTGATTGTGTTTTTTTAGATAAACAATTAAGCCTCTCGTATTTTAACCCAAAATGGATATTTTAAACTATTTAAATCTTTTTTAGGCAGACAAAAAGAAAAAAAGTGTTATTTAATCATTCCTAATTTTGAAAAATATATGTAAATCTCACAGTACATTTGTCTGAAGTAGCCCAACCAATACACAAATATATATGCAAAAAGGAAATATTGAGTCTATCTCTTTTAATTAAAAATGTCAAACAGCAAAAAAAGCCAAAAACCCAATCACTGTCATTTTCCGTAGAGGCTTTTCTTTCCTAATGCCAGCAAGCACAAGTCTGTCTGTCAGTCTGTCTTTATGACCACCCACTGAGAGCTGTGGTCCATGAATAAAACAGCTACAACCAGCTCCATACTGACCTACAGGTGACCAAACCCCTAACCTGAAAAAGTGCCGGTACGTCCAATCACTTTAGGTCACATTTAGCAACTGAGCCGCGCTACAGGTATCACTCAGACTGCCTTTGTTTAAGGTAATTGGAGGGGTGTTGTAAGTTTCCTACAGTATGACTCACACAGCTCTTTTCTCCACCCATGAATGCTAGAAGATTGTAGGTCACAGTGAACTTAAAAACGAAGTCCTCTCAACTCATAAATTACACGGCCACCGACAACCTTAAGCACTGTTGAAATGCCTCGCACAGGGCTTTATTTCAGCGTTGGTGGAGCGTGAAGCTGAGAGCACCACCCCACAAGGAGCTGGGCTCTCACAGGCAAAAAAAAGATTTATCTTGCCGTACCTGCGGTCTGACATGCTGGCAAAACGCTGGTGGTGCACCAAAAAAGGTGGATGTGAAAACAAGCACTTACTGTTCCTTAATGATGTTGCGCTTTGAGGTATTGCGGGTCATACTTTTCTTTGTGTGTGTGTGTGCGTGTGTGCGTGTGTGCGTGTGTGTGTGTGTGTGTGTGTGTGCGTGTGTGTGTGTGTGTGTGTGTGTGTGTGTGTGTGTGTGTGTGTGTGTGTGTGTGTGTGTGTGTGTGTGTGTGTGTGTGTGTGTGTGTGTGTGTGTGTGTGTGTGTTGTGTGTGTGTGTGTGTGTGTGTGTGTGTGTGTGTGTGTGTGTGTGTGTGTGTGTGTGTGTGTGTGTGTGTGTGTGTGATTCGGGCCCTTAAAGTCTGGTCTTAAATGTAAGATTTTCTGCCCCAAACAAAAGGGTTCTCCTTCCTGGGACCTGTCTTGGCACAGCTACTGGCACTTTGAAATCTGATCTGATAGATTAAGGGCTTATCCATTAGAATAAACCATTGTGGAATTATCATGGGTTGTGTTTTCACCATTGCAGTGTATCTGTGTGTAGTTTTGAAAGAGCACACATAACCCAGGATGTTACTCTCTTCAAAGACTTTGCAACTTTAAAGAAAATCGCTAAATATATATGTATTTCTAAGCGGTTATATAAATGTGACACAGCCAGTGAATGTCTTTTCTCAAAGGCTGCTCCTTCACAACATCATATTGTGTAGAAATTATCCTCAGTCTGACCACCCAGGGGGTCCCTGACACCACAACCTTTACAGAGGGGGATGGGTGTGTGTGTGTGTGTGTGTGTGTGTGTGTGTGTGTGTGTGTGTGTGTGTGTGTGTGTGTGTGTGTGTGTGTGTGTGTGTGTGTGT